AACATTGCTCATGCGAGTGATATGGTTTTATGGATGCCGTTAGTGAACTGAAGCTGTCTGAAAAGAAAAGCGCATCCAGCAGGCGCCATGCGCCAGTAATCATTGCGCAGACATGTAAACACTGCACAGAGTAGGCATCATTTGCTGCGCTTCGAGTGATTGGCCATCATTGTCACAACATACAGGGCCTTGTTAGCTCCGTGCCTGCTGAATTGGTTGCCTAGCAACCCATAGGATAAGTCTGTTATCGCAGTGTCCATTCTCCTTCACTATCCTTTACATCAAGTCCTCCGCGCTATGATGAGAAGGAAGGAGGAATCTTTTGGCTTGACGGTCTGCCTGACCCTCACGTGCCTCTTGCGCTTTACGTACAAATCTAAATGGATCACAAACAGAAAACAGGGCATCTGAATTGATGGCTAAGTGATTTATTAAAGCCATCTGGATTGGTCAACCCACCTAAGAGCTAGACAAGACAAATAATTACAATCGTTTTCTCCATCCGTCATTTTGCACCTCATTACATCCATCAATAAAGCAATCTCAGATTTTTCTATAAACACGTCAAATTATTCAAATACAGTCAAATCGTTGCTACAAACCCTGTTCTCTTATTGACCGAAGCTGAAACTGAGTCGTTTTTTGTCACCTTTTTCTGTTTTGCTGCTCACCTTTTCTGTTTATTGCGGTTAACCATCTCTGTCGCCATAGATATGTTGACAAGAAAGTTACCAAAAATAAAAGCATAAAAACCAGCAGGTAACTTTACACAATTGACTTTTGCAGATTAAAAAGGAATGATGTGAAGCCTTTTTTGCTGCAGCAGCAGCAGGAGCAGCATTTTGAATGAGTTTGAACTTGGTCCCAGTTCTTGTGAGACACATACAAGTTGGAAATGGGGTGAAAAAAGGTTGGATTATCCACAGGTTCCATCATAGCCCTTTTTCATAAACCAGTATAGGTCATATGTTGGGAAAATCTGGGTACAATTCGAGTCCCAACTAGGCAAAGTACACAAGAATCCATCCATGCTCCATCTTTCAAGTTTATATCAGGAACCTGGAGGAAGGTTTAGATTTTGTGCACCGTTTTAGAAACTGTAATACAAAAATATAGCGAAACAAGTTAAGGACTTCAACGTGTCCTAAGTAATTTAGCCTTAGGTACCTTTTCAAGTTGTTTAATTATAAAAACTAACATTGATCTGACAAGCTAATAGCATCACCAGAATATATATATTTTTTGTACAAATACTGCTTTCATTTTAAATCATTACTTATAGCTTTTATCCTAACACACATTTCATGGACTGTGGACAAGCAGAAAGCAGAAAGCCAAAAACTTGCAGCTTTATCTTTTCTCTCCGTCTTGCCTGGTTTGCATGCATCATCGTGATTGGTCCCTCCTTGGTTGGTTGGTTGGTTGGTTTTTGTTCTCTCTCCCCTCATCAAACAGGAGTTAATCCTGATTGTGTGTGTCGTCTAAGTGGTGCAAAATGAGACACGGGCTAATGCTATTCTCTGTGGAAACATTTCCGAAGACCGCCTTTTGTTGCGATACCTAATCACGCCTCATTGCTTTGTGTTGTCACAGGCATGCGAGGATAGGTTTAATTAACATATGAGTGTGAAATATTTGAATCCATTCGAAATTTGCGTCTGTGGAAAATACATCACTGCAGAAAAAAACCCCCAAAAAAACTAAATAAGGTTTGGCCTCAAGTCAATATTTCACATTGCTCTGTCCCTATGATTGTTGATATTGAAGCTTTTGCTTAGACGGTATTTGTCTCTGTGTTTCTTCATTACCTGTCTCCCTTACAACTCAGCAGTTACTGTATAAACAGATTAGGAGCATAAGCATCAGCAGCAGAAGATGTGGACTGGTTCTGGCAGCGACTGCAGTCCAGCCGTAATTGCTGTGAAGCTGTGTTGGTGTGTTGAGATGGATAAGTGGTTGACCTAGTCTTTGCTCAGTAATTCTTCTGTGAGTCACGTTATAAAGGAGGCTTAAGCAGAAGAGAAGAATGGTGATAGTTTCTGCTGTCTCCGTTTTTACTCTCCCTCTATTTTTCTTTGTTACTTTTTTATTTTAATGTATATTTTTTTAAATCAGAATTTGAATACTGATTTTGATTTTATTCAAGCTGTTTATTTGATATTAATAATACACACACAGGCTGGCCTTTAGCTACTGTACCCAGGTGTGTTTTCTGTCTGGTTCTGCAGTGCACTTCCAGTTTCCTCAGATGCATTTCGACACCTGTCACTGCACCTGACAGGTTATTCTTCCTCAGGCAGAAAATTCTGGTTGTTACAGCACACAAAGCAAAACCCAGGAAACAAATAGAGAGTTTGCTTATAGCTATATATGTTTTTTTTTTGTTTTTTTTTTTTTTTTGTTTTTTTTTTTGTTATTTGTATTCCTAGTCCTACTTTTATTTTTGTAGCTTTGTACAGAAATTGAGTGATGATTGATATCTAGGATTGCTTCACATTGGATTGTCTCGAAATGTTTAAAGACATACAAACAATGTGAATAGAAAACATTAGCTTTGAGAGCCCAGAGTCCTGTTCTCTAAAAACTGCTAGCAAAAAGGCTAGCAGTGGTTATTTTACCAATCTAGTTGTGGTTCAAACATGGACCAATCCAGCACTGGGTTGATGTAACACAATGAGTAGGAATATGGGTTTCACTAAGCCCATTGGGTCAGAATTTCACCTCCAAAATGTGTGGAAGTGCTAATGTCTGTCACTAAAGCTAAGATATTGAGGGAAGGGGTGTAAAAGATTAACCCATAACCTGAATTACTGAACAATACTTGAGTTAAAGGGAATTATTTATATTTGTGAACCACAGGGCAACACAGAGGCATAGAGTTAACTTGCATGTTAAGCTAACTCAGGTAGCTTAAAGTGTCTGGATGTTAACTTAACCTCCTCTGGACAAATTTATAACCTTCATTGTTCATTCTCTATAGTTGCACAGTTGATTAACCAAAACTATTTGCCAAAAACTTCATCTGCAGGATATTAAGGCACTAATTACAAACTAGCACAAGCATTCGGGCAATATGGTCATCTGACTGAAGCCAAAGTCTCTCGACTTTATTAAACCTTTTATTTATGTTATCAGCCAAATGTTAGGATTCGGGTTCGTGTGAGTGCTCTTTCTTATAGAGGATCTTCGGGGGAGAGTTCAGACAGGCTGGCGCACTGACAGGTGATTCCGCGTAATTGGCTGGTGGACTTTTAAGAAGCAGTGGAGCATTCACTCGTCGCTCGATGGTCCCACTTGTTGTGTCAGAGTCTAACCAAAATTATGTTATGGATGTTTAAGAGACTTCAAGTAATATTTTGTCTTCCCTCAGATCTCGACGAGCTGTTGGAATCAAGCCAGGAACCAAGTCTGGACTTTGAAATCGTTTCCTCCCGAGACCGAACATCTGCGCCTGCCTCTCTCCTCCCCACTCCATCATTGGTCTTCAGTACGCTCCCGGATCCTATCCTTTTCCCTCCGCGCAACCACCATCCGAAAGAAAAAACCCGAGCTGACCTGCCTACCCGATCTCTGGAACACAATCAGATCGTATTTTTGGAAAGAACCTCCATTAAACTTTCACTGAACAGTATTCTTTGGTTTTATGTGTGAACTTGCATGGGGGTCAAGAAACTAAAATCCAGCATGACACCAAAGGGATGAGGAAGTGCTTAAAAATGTTTCTTCACTGCAACAGGGTTTTGGTTTGAATCCAGGCAGGGAAACGCTGGCATGGGGTTTCCTTGTTCTCCCCCTTCATAAATGTTTTTTTGTAGGGTATATTAACTTTCTTTTTAAACTGTATGGTAAAGACTTCAGTCTTTACCACTAGCAAACGATTCCAAGCCAATGAAAGCATCAACGACGGGAACGTGAGGCCGGTCTTTGATCTGTATCTATCCCAATGTTCCAAAGGCAGAGTCGTATCGAAGCCAGCATTAGCTCCCCTAACTACATGAAACAGTTCGACGCTAAAAGAACAAAGAAATCAGGAGACTCCATTCCTCTTGTTCACGTCATTTTGATTTCATGTGGCAAAAATATTAGCCAATCAGATGCAACAATTTCCTAATCGCGGAGACAGAGCCCTGAAGGCAGGGTGAAAGCGTGTGCGTGCTCATGTGGGGCGATCGGGGGGATGTTGTAAAATTAGCTATGCTGTCAGAGCATTTTCCACTCTGCTCTAGAGGAATTGTCACCAGTGAAGCAGACTCAGGGAAGCCCTCTCCACGCTCTCTTCCTCTCTCAGTGTTCCTCTCTCAATGTCTTTTTTGCCTGCAGTGAAACTTGGGCTGGTTCTTGTTTGGTCTTTGGGGAAACTCATTAGGTGGCAAACAATGGCAGAGCTTTGTGAACCTGGACATGAGCGCCATTCAGACAACTGACTATTATGACAAAAAGTGATCTTTGGTTTTCTTCTGAACGATTTTATTCAGAATTTAAAAAAAAGAGATCCCAACTTTATCCCAGTTTAGAGGAGAGTATAAGAACTCCACAGAGACTCAGGCCAGTTCCATGAGTCTAACTAAATTAAGCACATATTCCTATGTGGATTTTAAATAAATTCAGGATTCCAAGAAGCATACAGTGCTGTGTAATTTACTTTCTTTATTTTTTTGTCTTTTTTTCTGAAAATTACTATAATATAATATAGTTTAACTTCAACATACTATATTTTGTTTGTGAGTTGAATAAACAGTTATTTAACTCTTTATCCACGTTTATTTAATTATATCATTTTTGGTATTGCGGTCGCTCCATATATTTGAGCAACTAGTTTTAGAGAAAAGGTTTCAACACCCCAGGAAACTAACCGATAGGCACTAAATATTTAACTAAATATATACAAGTGGAAATTGAACACTGTAGCTGTCAAAATAAACAGATTAAGCTTCACATCTGTTCGATGAGGGAATAATAAAGTCGGACTCCTCTGTCTTCCCTCTTTCCGTGAGCTTCTCCATGGCAAACGACCGCTTCTCACTCCATTATAAAAAGGTAAATAGATGAAAAAAAAAGACGAGTGTTCGGGCTTTTCCGCTCGGATTCGGACTCAGAGCCCCCCTCTGTGTTTACGCGGCAGATACATCAGTCGAGTCTCTTGGTTTTTTCTTTTTTACGGTTCAAGATTTTCGCTTCATTTCTGACAAGAACAAAATACATTTTCCTGCAGCTGACATGGACACCGCTAACCAGGTGAGTAAACACGCTAAAGGACTGAACAGATAAACGTGTAACGTGAACGCCCCGAGGGTTAATTACAACTCAATTGGCCGGTGAGTCCATTAATTGGTGAAAATGATGTTTTCATCCCCTCGCTTTGTCTCTGTGCAGCTGGCATCGGTGGGGACATTTCAGGTGCTCAAATTGCCTCTGGGATTTATCCGTGTTTTGGAATGGGTGAGTTGAAATTTCATTGTTTATTTGCGTGCAATAACTTAATTTTGCAATGTAAATATGTAAATATTTTACACGCCAATTCACGGGTGTGCTGCTAATGAAGATACTGTTTTTTTTTTTTTTTTTTTTTTTTTTTTTTTTTTTTTTTTTTTTTTTTTTGCAAGGAGTAAACGGGATTATTTTTAATTCAATTCGCGCATTTGAATGGTGAAACTTTCCCCGCATCTGGATTTTTGCACACATTACGCTCAAGCATTTTATTCAAATCCGATTCGCTGTGACCAGATCTTTATGTTTATGTATATCCAATCGTTATGTGTATTTTGTATTTGTGAATAGGTGTGCAAACTGTGCTTTTTCTTTTTAATGCGCCAGCCTTTAAGAAATGACCCATTTTAGCACGAGTGAAAAGAAATGATATAACGGGAATCACCAATTTGCACTGGGCGTCCTCGCTGTGACTGAATCAAAGTATTACTACAGCCACCCCTCTCTGTTTGGCAGTGGGTTGTGTTGACTCTGTGTTTATTGTACAGTGCACAGAAGCCTGGAGCTAAAAAAAAAAAAAAAGATAAGTGAGTTTCTTTGATGTGAGTTTAGAGAAATTGCTGTAGCCACCAGGGTGTTCAGCATTTGCCCAGATACTGTGTGTAAGTGTGTGTCTGTTTCATTGTGCACCTGTGTGTGAGGCTTTGCAAGTGTGAAGACAATCATAGTTTTCATTAGCTGAAGAAAGATGGGAGTTTATTACAGTTATAAGAAGTGAACTGACGAATCTGACTCTCAGTTTCAACATACCACACAATTAAGGTGAGTTTGCAGTGTCTGTCAGCAGGGACTAACCTGAAACAGACTTTATTCAAGAGAACTTCAGTTCTTTTGGTGGCCTTGATAAAAAAAATCATACCAAAGAAAAGCATTCGTGCCCAGATAAAATGTGTATATGGATATGGTCTGAAATTGGTCTCAAATGACAACTTAAGATAGTTATATATCTAGGATCCACTTTTTGCCTAGAGTTATCCTGTATCATTGTGGCCATTATGTAACATTTTGGATTTGGTGTCCTTTATTTGGTCATTTCCCTACCTATGTGATTGTTAAATCGTGGGTTATTCTCTACTACCAATTCACTGGACCTTTTCTTTTTGCTGCCCAGTTTCTAATCAAATGGGTAGTTTGAAAGTTATATCAACAGTCATAATGCATTACAATGTAATATGTTACCAGTCAATCAGGCAGTAGTATCTTAACAGAGGAAAAGAGTAGGAACCTTCTTTCAACTTGCTGACCGGCATTGCACAGCAACATGGTCGAGACGGTCAGCACTGCACTACTCTACGCTGCATACAACCAGAGAAACGCTGGTCGCTCTGACGCTTTCTCTGGCATCTCACTTTAAAACCTAGGAATTATGTAGTATACACAGTTTTTTCAGTATTTGAATTTGTAAAACCTTAGTATACCAAGGACCCCCTTTATTTCTTTTTCCGCATATGATAATGATGTTGTTCTGTTAGCATGTTCAGGCCTAGAAATTCAGCATACAGTGGGGCGGTTCACAGTCAAATGTGGAGTGGCCAGGATGTAGTTGTGGCCTCAGAAGCCATGGATCTGAGCTGGTAAAAAGGTGGATTTCTCCCTCTAGGCCGGTGCTCTGTCTCTACTCGAAGTGGAAGAGTTTAATATCCAAGTGTCTTGTTCACAAGTGATTCTAGAATGGAGCGGACGATGGATCATCTCCAGAGATGTAGGTGCTACTCTTGTCTGTTACACCGAGGAAAGAACTGAGCCAGAAAGCTTGTGGAAGCAGAACTTCCACATTCAAACCTTCACTTTTGGCCATATGGATTATGAACCAAAGAGTGTGATCAGGAGTGTTTGAAATTAGCTTCCTCCACAAGGTGGTACGGAAGTCAAAGTAGAGTCATTTCTCCTGCATGTAAAGGAGTCAGGTCCTTTTTTGAGGTTTTCGAAGCATCTCCTCATTGGGCATGACTGTATTTCCCCTCTGATTTGGGAACACCTTGGATGGATGGAAACTGGCCCACACCTTGTCAGATCCAAAAGAAAACCAGCTGTGTAACACTCTGTCATAGCTCACATGTCTATGTTCTTGTTACTCTTTGTGTGTGCGTGTGTGTGTGTGCGCGTGTATGTGTGTCTGAAGGGAAGTGTGGGTCATTATGTGAGCTTCACTGCCTCCCCCAGTACACACCACCTCCGTTCCTCACATTTCTGGCACTACAAGTGACCTTTTCAGTGCAACACCTTTACTTCTTTTCCGTCTGTCTTCCCCAGAAAGAGAATATTCCTTTGTGTCTCCGTTGGCCTGCGGGTTTATACAGTATACACATAACCAGCTATTTTAATTAAGGTCAAGAATTCAGATTTATTCTGCTGTGACACCCGTGGGTATTTTTTCTGTAAGCTGCTCTTCTCTAATAAGAAAAGACGGGCGGGATCCTGTTTTTTTTTTTCTCCAATCATTTGTAGTTCGTCTTCAATTGAGCCAAAATTGCAGTCTTACTTTTAACGTGATGTGCAGAACCAGCAAGAGCAGTGTTAGAGTATTACATTGGCCCCTTTTCAGATCATGGAGAGCGTGTACAAATTACCATCACTGATATAAGCACTATGCAGAAAAGCTATTGAGCATTGTCTTCCATATCCAGTGGGTTTGCTTTGCAAATGCATTCATTATTTCAAAAACAATCAAGTTCTATCTTGAATGTTTTCAGCTGTTTTCAGAGCAAATCGTGGATGTTACAGATCCAGGAGGGAAACCCAGACAGACAGCTCTCTCCCCAGCAAAACCCTCTAGCTCGCTGTGGGGAATACCACAATATTCTCAGACCAAAAGAGATATCTGTTCCTCATGAAAACCTTCACAGTGACCACCTCAACTGACTCCTTTTGAAGCAGAGGAGCAGTGACTCAACTGCAAGCTTCCCCAGATGATAGAGATCCTCAGTTTTATCTCTAAGACTTAACCCATTCACTCTATACAGAAGAGCCTAATTTCAGCCGCTCTGATCTTGAATGTCAATTATTCGGTTAATGTCCATGGCTTACGAATGTAGACAGAGGTGAGACCACATACAGGCTGATAAACTGAGATCTCTGGTTTGTGGCTGAGCTCTTCCTTTACTACAACAGGTGATGAGCGGATGAGGGCCCTTTCCATATATCCTTCACCTCATCCAAACTTTGGAGTTTAGATTTGCTATTGTGGCTCATCAGTAGATCCTTGGTGTCATATCTTCAGCTGCTTGTGCAGAGAGGGACAATCACCTGTAATTTTGTTAGAAAGTTATAACAAATGTTGATTGTCATGGATAATGTTGCTATTTACACTGACTGAACCCTGGTAGCACTAATAGGGTTGAGGGATGATGGATGACAAACATAGGAATGAGGGATGATAGAGGTGAGAGGACAGTTGAGAGTGAGGGAGGAGAAACAGTGCTAAATGGTAGAGTTGAGTGTACATAGACTTGTGGAGGCATGACTGAGGCATAGACCTTCTTACTAACTAAAGTTAGCACATGAACTCCTTTAGATACATATAACAAGTTACTGGTTTTAAGCAGTTGTCTGTTTTTGTTTGGAGCCTATCTCAGCCAGGCCACGGCTGGATCCCATCAGCAAAACTGAGACATCTTCGCTGACAGTTAAATCTCATAAATGGACAGCTTGGAGCAGTAGCTTGATTCTGTAGCTTGACTGGCGAATTTCAGCTCTTCCAGATGGACGAGACATTTTCAGACTGTGTTTCAAATGGGATCCTTCCTTTACTCTGACATCACCTTTCTGAAGGCATTAGCAACGCCACAAAAATCAGCCACAGTGTTTCCTGTTCATTATGTCCATGTGGTCCTGTGGTAGATTTGTACAAACAGTAACTGATCAGTGGAAACATGACATGTGTGCTGGTTTGCTTTGTGTGGACGCCCCGAGGCACTGGAGGTTTTTTATAAAGGCAGCGAATGACATTTAGTTTGCAGACGATGAACCTTGCACTGTACGTCTGGTTGACTGTGTGGACAAATAGTGGGCTTTTAAAAGGTTATGTTAACTATAGTTGAGACTTCCTAGTAAGATGCTGCATGTCTTGGTTTCCTGCATTAATAGTCAGCATTGGATCTGCACAAGCACAGTGTGACTTCATAATTAGTCAGGCCTGCAGGCAAATGCACTATGTGTACATTTGTTTTGTCATATCTCTAAAACACACAAAAATACCAAACTGTTAGATTTAAGTCTTTGAATAGAACTAAGCATTGAGGTTAGGAATTTAGTTTTAAGGGTTAGTGTTATAGTACAAGACCTGGTGATCCATTACATCAATAGAGGGGCCTTTCGAATACAAAAAATAAAACATTATTTATGTGTGTGCGGATCTTGTTCTTGCTGGCACGCCATCAGCGGCTGGCATATTCTGCTCCAAACAGCTGTAAGGTCCCCCTCGTCTCCCATGTTGGCCAACTCATGCAGAAGCTGTCCTTTGAGATGTGCCCAAACTCTTCACCGTTTCCAGCTTCATGCTTATGCGTCTGAAGAGTGAAAGGAAAGAAGCGGGGATAGAGAGGGGGGTGTGTGTGGGGGGGAGAGAGAGAATTGCACAGTTGCTTGAGCACATGATTTCAAATGATAAACATAGCCATGCTGCTGAAGCTTGTCGCACAGAGCGGCTGTACAAGCACACTACGTGAGGCCTTGTGACTCACGGGGCAAAGCCCGGGCATCCATCGCGAGTCTCATTCATGAGTAATCGTGGTCTTCCCATCCAAACCCGCGTCTGACCAACTATTGCATGATGTCATCCTGAGTACCTTACTGTACACCAGCTTTGTTCGCCTCTGGGCGGTCGGAGAATCTCGTGTGCACAAACTAAAGGGTTATTAACACTTTTTTTCATTGCCTCTGTTTTGTAGTATTTTGGCGATAAGACTGTGTGAAAAGACATCTGAATCGCACATTGTGCAAGATTTATCACA